ATTCTTATTGTTTGGTTTCACCATGGTCGATGTGATATTTTTGGTTGTTTTTCTTAAGGGTTGATTATTTCGATACACGAAAATCACTTAGTAATTACTGTGCACGAGATATACACGAAAATCACTTAGTAATTACTGTGCACGAGATTACGTGTACTCTTAGTAACAGTGTGTATGAAAATTGAAATTATAAGATTAGAATTATCCGTAGAATACCAAGCGCGTTCACGAGAATTCCGAAGTTCCGATCAGAACCTCATGTAGACCTGGTAGGGAWYCTACRTGGAGGTTCTCTATTCCGGACTCGTGACATCTCTATTCTTCGTGAGGTATTCTCGAATAATATCTTAGACCTCTCACGATCCTCAACTGAGGGATCGTATGATACATATATATGAATAGTATATTATGATACGTAGGTAGGAATGGTATGTCCTTCTATTCCGAGGGAGCATCGTATGTACGYATGCTTCCTCTTCAATACGTACGTATCCTATCCAGCACGTACGTATCCTATCCGGTACGTACGTATCCATTGCACAGAATGCAGTAACAAATGTAACAACCAAAGAGAAGGATCCATGGATTACTACTAGTAGTAGTACTAGTATTAGTACTACTATCGTACCGCAGTTGTGACCACTCTGATCCAAGGAGCGAGGCTCCAGGTGGACGCCGAACATCGGCGAAAGATCTGCTGGATCCGAGCGGCACCATTCTATCGATCGCAAGCAAAGTGTTGTAACCTTAAGTATTCGAAATCCCGGATGTGCGGGTCTCGGGTTTTTATCGCCCTCGTCACAAGAAACAGAAAGAAAATTGTGTCCAATCCGCGGCCAATTGCCCACGGCACGTACGATAGGGTACTATGGGATACGGTGCGGCACGTAGTGGTACGTACCCGTGTACCCGTAGCGTAGCATACGGTAGTTTCCGGCTACCGTTACGACACCGGAAATTGGAAATTCCCAACCTGTTTCATTTCGGAATGCGATTTTCGATGCGATTTTCGATGCGATTTTCAAACACACACACACAGACACACACAGACACAGATACACACACCGCCATGGCGGCACCCACAGCAACAGCAGCAAGAACAACAACGGCTTCCGCCGCGTCGATCGCCCTCGCCCCGAGAAGGAACGGGAGCGACGATTCGCTTCCCGGCGGAGCCGCGGGGAGCGCCCCCTACACCTTTTCCAGCGCGGCCCTGCGGAAAAAGGGCGGTCGCAAGGGTGGACGGAGGGGCAGGTCGAGGCTCCGCAACAAAAAGATCGTCACCGAGGAGGAAGCCGCGGAAAAGGCCGCGAAGGGCGGCACCACCGAGACAGTAACCACTGCCAGCGGCAGCGGCAAGCGGAGCTACCTGTCCCGGTCCTGCTCGACGTCCTCGCTGCCGGCCTCCTTTGGGTCCGGTGCGTCCTCGCTGGCGCCGCAGCCAAGGGCACCGCCCCCGCCGCACGAGCTGGACCTCTCGTCGGCCGTCCGGGTCCGGGACACGAAAAAGCCCTGGGAGACGGACATCTGGAAGGAGCGCAAAAAGTCGGACCGCGACGAGATCCTCCGGAGCGGGGGTGGAAGCGGAAGCCACGGCTCGCAGTCCTCGCGGCGGACGGCCCTCCGGAGGTCCCGGAGCCTCAGCGTCGTCAACCCCCACGGGAGGTACCGCCGGTCCAGGAGCCTCAGCCAGCACCACTTTGGGGGGGGCGGGACGATAGCGATGCCCTGCTCGTCGTCGGAGGACGAGGACGGGGAGGAAGCGAGTCGTCCCACCAGTCGTTCCACCAGTCGTTCCACCAGTCGTCCCACGACCGAGGGGGGGCACGGGAACCCCCTCACCACCGACAGCAGCGATGGCAAGAGCTACGGCTGTGGCTACGGGCTGGGCGATCCCGTTGCACCCGACGACAACACCGACGACTGCGGCTGCGGCTCTGGCGGGCACGACGCACCGACGAGGACCAGCGGCAGCGACCACGCCGCCGCCGGTGCGGACGCCTTGTCGGACGAGTTCGAGTCCTACGAGAAATACCGCCGGTTCCTCTCCAAATCGGGGAGCAGCGACGCGGAGCAGAGCGACGGCGAAGACGACGGCCTCCACGACGACCTCGCGGTGGCAGTCGACCTCGCTTCCAAACCCGCCGGCGAACGGGACGACTACTACGCAGACGAGGAACGGGCACGGCGGAGGCTCCGGCACGACCGGTACTTCTCGCAGCAGGCGGTCCGGGACCGGCAGGAGGGTGGCTCCTTTGCCTTTTTGCTGGCCGAGAAAAAGAAAAAACTGAGGGCCGCCCCTGCGCTGGACTTTTCCTACCGGTACTCGGAGGCGTCCGACGAGCTCCACTATGGGGACCAAAGGGCCGCGACCCACCCGCCCACGGCGCCAGGAGGAAGCGAACCGCCCGATTCCGAACCCGGGAAGCATTCGCCCGGGGAGCCGGTGGAAGCAGGACCTTCCCCCCGATCGGTGCCGGATGCTGCGGGCCCGGGGAACGAACACGAGAACCAGAACCAGGACGGAGGCAACACCTCTTGCGCTGCCGGTGACGATGCTGCCCCGGCCAGTGCTTGTGAGACGTTTCGCGGCACAGAACCAGACAAAACCACAGGGGCAATGGTCCCTCCCGAACCAACTGTGTTTGTTGGGGACGTGGTCCTCGAAGACAGCGACGGCGATGCCCCGCAGCCGGAACCGCAACCGGAAGAAACGGATCCGCCCCTTGTTCCCGGCGGCCGCTCCTCCCCGGTCGGACCACAGGAGGACCACGAACGAATTGCCCACAACCAGGCGTCTTCGGCGTCCATCGCCTGGGTACCGTCGGAGACGGAGAAGCCCGTGTCACCTTTGCTCGACGAAGAACTTGCGGGTGCTGCTACTCCCGGACACGGTCCCCCCACGCCTGGCGAGGCGGAAGGCAACGGCTCTGGTCTGCGGGGCGAGGATCACGACCCAGAAATCGATCTTCCACCGGCCGGGGTCGACGACGACTATGACGACATCCACCACGACAACGGCACGAGCCACGCCACAGATATCGACCACTGCCCGGAAGAAGCAGGTTTCGAAGTTGGACCACGAGAGGTTGCCGACACGATGGTTTCGAACCATGGACCGTTCGGTGGTTTCGCACGGAGCTGTTCCCCCATCGACAACCAAAAGAGTCGCTCCTGTTCGCCAACCATCATCCAGGAGGACGACGCCAGCGGGTCTTGGAGCGTGGAGGACGACACGCACATCGAAAACGAACTAGCCAACGACTACAGCGAGGACGCGCAGCGCACACCCAGAAACAGCCACGGAGTGACTCGAGCAACGGACGACGAGGGCGATGCCACCGGCACAAACCCGATGGATTGTGACGAGCAGAAAAGGGACACCGCTCGTGCATACATCGATTGTGGTGTCGACATCCCGGACAACAACAGCGACGACAATTCCTGGTCGTTCGATCTTTGCGACCGCGGCGGCGGGAACGGCGCCAGAGTCCACGAGAGAGCGAGCACCGGCGCGGCGGAGGCAACCCCCGCCGCGAAGGAGGTGCCGGCGGCCTGCTCCGAATGCCTCGGCGACGGCCGCAGCGGCAAAGATCCGGATCCCGGCACAACTGGCTGTACAGCCGGCACCCCCCATGATTCGTTTTTGTTGCCACCGCCCTTGTCGAGAAGCTTGTTCCGAGCCGACACGGGCAATGCCGTAGATCTTGACAAACACTGCACGCAGCAGCAACCCGAAGAAACAGGCACGGATCGATGCACGATTCCCGCAGAAGACACCACCGTTGGCGACATGCAGTGGGTAGTTCCGGTAGAAAAGGAAGAATCGTCGCTGTACAACAGGGATGCTTCCGATTCAAACAACGACGAAGACGTCGATTTGTGCTTTGAGTCCTTTCGCCGAGTGGAAGACTGCCAAGAAAAATCCAGCGACACAAGCGGTGGCGACGACGACGGGTCCTGCTGCAACGAGGAGGCAACCGAGCGGGGGGAGGAATGCGACAATTCGGACTACTACTATGGTTCCGACGAGGAAGATGAAGACGATCCGGAACGCGATTTCATGTCCATGCTCTATCACATCCACACCTCGTAGCAAAACAAAGCATTCGGTACACACCACACCCTTTTGTATCGGGATGGCTTTTTTCAAAGCAGCTGCTAATCGGTAAAATCCCCGTCCAGCGACAAATTCTATTTATGTAGTGAAAAACACGCTGTGCCTGTTTGCATTCTAGAGCGTCGATTGGTGTGTTGGGCTGGGCTAGGCTGGGCTGGGCTGCATCTCGTGACCGGGCATCGCAGCGTCACTGCGTCCCTTTGCGGGTTCCTTCGAAAAAGTCGAGCGACTTTTCCACGACCTCGCTGCAGTATTCGTGAAAGGCCCACGCTCGGTGAAGGGCCTTGGCCAGCGGCGACATTCCGGGCGTCAGATCAAAGGTCCCCCACAGTAGCAACTGGCTTTCGCCGTCGTTCTTTGGCCGCTGCTGCACCGGGCCCGCGTCGCGTTGCGGCAGCTCGAGCGATGGGGGCCGGGCCTTGTTGTTGTGTTCGCCCGGATGGTTGCTGCTGTTGTCTTTGCCACCGTCGCGTGTTTCCAGCAGATGGTCCCTCCAGTTGGATCTCGTCGGGTCGATCAGGAAAAGATGGGTGGAAGGATCGAGGTGACCATGGCGCAGGAGCACGTCGACGATGATCTGTGCAGCCTCTAGGGTCATCCCCGGAACCCTGTTCCACAGGTAGTGGGAGGTGACCGGCAGGGGCTTGCAGGACGTTTCGTCCAGGACGACTTGGAAGTCGTGGTGGTTGTTGCCTGCGGTCGACTTCGGATCCTCTCTCGATCGCTGCTCTTGTTGCTTTGTGATGTATTGGTAGTTTTTGCGCACCCTATTGGTGGTTCCCTTGTCCCTGACCATGGGCGCAAGGTAGAGTTTGTGTTCATGTGGCAGGGCCAGCAGCCTGTCCAGAAGTTGATCCCTCAGCGCCATGACCATGACCGTCGCCGACCGAGCGACGCCCTCGGCCACGAGCTTGGCCGCCATCGCTCCTCCCGAGGATGCCCCGATCGCATAGACCGGGGCGCTGGTCTCGGCCGGGAGAGCCCCGGGGTCCCTACCGGCTTCCATTGGCACCGAAGCCCTCCAAAACTCGCGGAGGGCGTGCTGGATGCGGCGGACGTCCTCGTGTCCCCCCCAGCACCCGCTCTTGGCATTCGAGCAGGTCACCGCGAGCGCCGCGTACCCCCTCTCGAGGACGATACGGGCCAGCCTCATTTCCTCTGAGAGGCCGACGCACGAGGGGCACGAGTCCTCCGATGGGGCAAAGAACTTGAGGGCGCTGTGCGTGCAGGCGTGCAGCAGCACCACGACGCCCCTGATCCGGCCGAGCGGATCAGCGGTTCCGGTCGCGGACGGCGGCTTATTGGTCGCGAGGATTCTCCCCGGGGTGCTGCGGGAGGGGACAGCATAGACCATAGATATGCTGTTGCCGTTGCCGTTGTTCTGTTCATTGTTTCCATTCTTGTTGCTGCCGTTCCACTCGAGTTCCATGTGGGTCCCGTACACCGGATAGGCCTCGGGTGACAGCAGCAGCGCTCGCTGTTGTTCTTGTCGTTCCTTCTGTTTCTGTTGGTGCGGTCGGTTTTGCTGTTGCTGCTGTTGCTGTTGCTGCTTTTCGAAACCGCTAACGAGTTGATGTTCGCTCTTGTGCAAGAGCAACACATGGTAGTAAAGCCCCCACCAAACCGCAACCAGACCGCAGAAGCTGGTCGCGAGACACGGCCGGATCCAGGCCGTGAACCTGCGCGAGCGATGGCGAAGTGGCCTTGCCGCTGGTCCCCTGCCGCCCACCGGGGGGTTTTGCAGGGACGACGCGATCTGGACCATGGTTTGTTTTGGTTGGTGGTGGTTGCCGGTGTTGAAGTAGTGTTGAAGTATTCTTGCACTGCCGCGTTGCTCCATGCGGCAGCGATTGCAATACACTACCGGTGTAGCAAACTGTGCTTAATTCTTTCCGAGTGAGCTTGTGTATTTAGTGCGAAGGCGCGTTGCGAGTGTGCGGGCCGATTTCCATCGTCAAAAGATCCATTTTTCCAGCGTTTTGAGTTTTGAAGGCAACTTTCGCACCTACCGTACTAGAGCTACTAAGTACAATTCCCATAATGGCAAGCTATTGGCAATTTCCCGACTATCAATTTTTTTTATTTTCCCGTCTTTTTTTTTCCCTCTCCCCCTCCTCCACGAAAAAAAGTACAAGTCCGAAAATATTTCTATACTTGATACTTACTACTTAGAATATCAAATCAGTGCTTATCTCAAGTATTAAGGACCACCAATAGAAATATTTTGGGACCAGCGAGAAATTAAACAATGGAAATATTTTTATTTTCGTCCTTTGRATGCCATTTTTAACTGGATTTAACTGTAAAAATGAGCTAAAAATTTCTATTAGTATTTGTACGGGGATTGCCAATAGCTTGCCATTATGGGAATTGTACTTAGTAGCTCTATACCGTACCGGGACCATCATCATCGAAGATTTTACCACGCACCTTTGCTACTAGACCCGTTACTGGAATGGAACCAGCAGGCTCAGCTTTACACACAAAATGAGGCATATTTGCAGGGACGTTCCGAAACAGTGAATTTCCACGTACGCCTAGCTACCAGATCTCGACTAGTGCGACTACTGTAGATTGTTGCTGCAACCCAACACCTCTATTAAAAAAGAGGGGGTCCCGGGAAACAATTTTCATTTAGGTCAGATTTCTCTGGCTTTTTTCTGGTAGATTTATGGTAAAAACATTGTCAATTTAAGGTAGAAACATAGTCGATCTTTGGTAGCAATATAGTCAATATGTGTTAACCCTATCAGCATGTGCCATATCTACTACTATTTATAGTATAAATTATTTTATACATGTACGTTTACTATTTATTAGTATCATACCGTACCGTAGTACTACTGCGGGTCTAGTATAAATTATACATGGGGGTTCTGGGAAGGCTACCAAAAATCGACTTTAAATCAGATATCAATTAGATATCAATCAGATTTAAATCTGGTTTGTATTCCTTTTCTAGTCGATTTGTAGTCGAATTCTGGTAGCCAAAAAAATCGAATTTTGAAGAAATAGTTTCCCGTATCCCCCTATTTATAGTCAGCATAAACATTGCAGCAACAATCTACCGTAGTCGCACTAGTCGGAGATCTGGTAGCTAAGCGTACGTGGAAATTTGCTGTTTCGGAACGCCCCAGTCCCGGGACCTCCAAGAAACTATTACTACMAGAATTTTTACCAGAATTGCTACCATCTGGTAGCAAAATGGTAGCAAGATGGTAGCAATTCTAGTCAAAATCTGGTAGCTACCATTTTACCATAAATATTTTCTATAATAATTAGATTCTCTTAGCCCCCTCCCCAAAGTTTCAGTCCTCGTATTCGTTTGAATGAGTCATACTGAAGAGGGGGCTGGGAGATTAAAAGAAAATTCTGGTAGCGTGGCATATATTTTGGTAGCGTTTGTGGTAGCAAGATGGTAGCATTGATGGTAGCAATTCTAGTCGGATTTTGGTAACTGGTAAGAATACCAGATTGCTACCATAAATCCTACCAGATTCTGGTGGTAACTGTTCTGGTAACACCAGCAAGTTACCATTCTTATTGCCAGACTATTCTTGCCTGGTAGCGTGCCCGGCGTGGTAAAATAGTCAATGATGATTGTCCCTGAAGGTATTAGAGCTACCAGTACTCAGTACAATTCCAGTGCTTGCAAGTTAAAGGCAATTTCCCGAGTGTCAATTTTTTTAATTTTCCCCTCTTTATTTCCCCTCCCCCCCCTCCGCACCAAAAACCAGCAGTCCCTAAATATTTCTATTAGTGATCCTTACTACTGCGGATACAAAATCAGAGCTTATCCCCAGTATTAAGGACCACTACTACAAGTTTCATAACAATTGCATGCCGTCTTGCCCAGAGAGCAAAAAGTAGTAATTTGAAGTTCTAAACTTCGGTTTGAAGTTAAGAACTTCAGGTAGAAAGTCTACTAGGTTCTACTGAGCTAGTTTTTGGATGGCATTCATGATTGATGGCCCTGCCCAATTTTTTTTGTTTTGAGGGGAATCGTGGTTTGGCCATTCAGTCATTTTAAATAACTAGCTCAGTAGAACCTGGTACATGATGTACGAGCAAAAGTTCGCAACTTCAAACCAAAGTTTAGAACTTCAAATTATTACTTTTTGCTCTCTGGACAAGACGGCATGCAATTGTTATGAAACTCGTAGTAATAGAAATATTAAATATTTTTATTTTTGTCCGTTGGATGCCTTTTTAACTGGTTTTAAGTGTAAAAATGAGCTACAAATTTCTATTAGTATTTGTACGGGGATTGCCAATAACTTGCGACTACTACAGGACTCACCATTAATAGCTCTAGTGTGCTCGAGAGCTAGACCTTGTTGGTGTTGAACAAGATAGTACTTGTAACGTGAGACCAATCCGATGTCACAGTTATTAACATAACCAATTGAGTAGCATCGAAATTACATGTAACCAAGCAGCGCGAGGTTACTGCACACCAGCAAAAGGATTTGATCATATTACTAGTAGTATGATCCAGCAGATGAACAACAAGACAGCATTGCCTTAAACTACAAGCACTGCCTCTGCAATAAAAGGGAATGGGCTCTTTTCCCTCCCTGGTCCCTCCGGATAACAGCATCCAAACTACAAGCACTGCCTCCCCATTTTAGGGGAATTTGCTCTTTTCCCTCCCCGGTCTCTCCTCCATGGATCCAGCAATTGAACTGCAAGCACTGCCTCCTCCAATGTAGGGGAATGGGCTCTTTTCNCTCCCCGGTCTCTCCTCCATGGATCCAGCAATTGAACTGCAAGCACTGCCTCCTCCAATGTAGGGGAATGGGCTCTTTTCCCTCCCTGGTCCCTTGCTGGTTGCTCTGGATGAAATTTGGCCTGATTTCATGATCCTGGTACAAAATTTATGTAGGATTCTATGGCAAAATTGGAAATCAAGGCACTACTAGACTGCTAAAATTTGAAATTTTTCCTACGTAACTTTTCTACAGCACTATGTACTAGCCACTTATTTTGTCAGCAAAATCAACGCTCTTTTTGTACTTATGGTTCAGTCAATTGTTTCATTTAATGCGCTTGCCTTGTGGGGAACCTTCTACAAAGAACTCTATTAAGTATCCGACAAGAATATGGATGTGTCAGCACTCAATCAACTCATCTGATCATTAGTCTAATATTCAATACTGTATATAAATCAATGTTATCTGTCACACTACCATTTTGTTATGATGTTGATATTTTGCTTGGAAGATTTTTGCTCCTCACCACCTTACAGCAACAGGCTCAGCAACTAGCAAACAAGCAGCTCAAAGCAAGCAAATTGCCTGTTACTACATCATAACACACATCAATTGCGACTGCATCAACTGCATGATTGTTCAAAGCTTGAGCTCGTTCCAGGCAGCCTCTAGCTGCCTTTCAAGGGATGCACTCTTGACTTTCTCCCATTCAAGCTCTTTCCTCTTATACTCATCCTTTCCCTCTTGGATTCCAATTGCAAGTTTCTTGTCCTGTAACTCTCTGGTGAGCATGGCAATCTTGTCTTTAAGATTTGAAATGGTCTTCTTTGCCTTGTTGAGTTCCTTTTCCTGTTCAATTCTGCGTTTCTTGTTGTGGGGGGGGGGAGGAACAAGCAACGGTGACTACTTCCTTTCTGCATTTGTTATCATTTGCAGACTTGAGCTCCTCAAGGAGTGCTACCTTCAAGGCAGTTCCAGGAGATCTTTCATTAGCAGCAGCAGGCGGTGGCGGAAGAGTTGTCTGGGGCGGCACTACTACCAATGGCACTTGAAGAAGAGGAGGAGGCACCAACGCTGTTTTCTTCTTATTGCTGAAGCCTGCACAAAGAGTATTCTGTACTCTTTGCTGAGTTGTTGACATTACATGATCATATACTTGAGATGATTTTGCACTACAGTGCCAAAGATGATTCATCTTGAGCTTTTCAGGAGCATTCACATCCAATGCTAACACAGTATAGCATCGGTGATAATTATCATGAGGAGTCAACTTGTCAGCATCCTTGTATCCAGCTTCTTTTGCAACTTCCTTCACCCACTTCTTTATGGTATCTTGTCCAACGGGCATTGCCGCCTTGAAGTAATAAGGATTGTCCTTTGATCTATTTTCCCTCACATAGCAAAGGAACCTTCGCTGATCTGGATGGCATCAAGTCCTGTAAAAGTTGATGAGCTTTACAATGCAATACGGATTGGTCTTGTCCTCCACCACCATGGGGAACATCTCATTCACAGTGGGATTGCTCAAACCAAGCTGATTCCCCTTGTCAAAGCCCCCCCGGGCAATGATTATGTATTTACTGTTCTCCATTTTTCCATGGGGGAAGCTTCCAAGCTTAATGAATTGCCATTCAAGGAAGACAATTTCATCCCTTCCCCTGAGGCCAAACTGTCTTCCAAGCTCCATTGTGATAATCTTCAGCTAGTCTTGCATGTCCACATAAGGCTTGTACACTCCACAGTGAAGCAAGCTCTTGACCTTTGCATCACCATACTCATCAAAGGCAGCCTTTGTTCTATTGGTCCCAATCGTTGGATCTATGGCTCTTTTCTTTTCAAAATCAAGCTTCACCACACTAAGGAATAACCCCTTGCCTTTGAAGTCTGCTTCATTGAACTGGATCCCCTTTTTGTGGAAGGCAGAGAACAGTATGCGGACGTACACTGAATGGGTGTTTGTATCCAGAGGATCCCTGTTCTTTGCATTCTTAATGTTAAGAGTCCATATCATGAGGGCTTGATTCATCAAGGTCTTCTTGAGGGCGTCCTTTTTACCAGTGACGTTCCTGTAGAATAAGTAGTCTTCAGTTAATCCATCATTCATAGGAACTTTCTTGGTGAACATCTCATACATAACTTTGGTTGTTTGTGGCTGGATTCGTTGTTTCTACTAGGATAGTCTTC